CCATGTCAGTTGGCCAGGAAGTTTATTAAATATTTGGGAGGTGTCCTTTTAATAGGAATCCTCTGTAAAGACGGTATGTGGAGTTGATGAATAACGGTAAACAGTTGAATACCAACTGTCGTTTAATAGACTATTTTAGTCTGCAAACAAAACTCGAATAAACCGAATTCTCAAATAAAAAACGAGTGATATCGGTTTACAACTTGTAGACGGCAAAAAAGCAGGCAGAGAGCGCCCTCATTCGATAGGCATGTGGAAGAAAGCTGAAACATTGAGAACAGCATAAGTCCATAGAGTCCTAGATATTGAAAGGATAACAGCTTTCCTTAGCACCTTAAAACAGTATGCTTTCTGATTAAGTTTAAGAAAGTAAAAGTGAATATTTTGGTCAAAAATGATGAGGTGTAGTAATCACAGAAAAGCTAAGTATCAAGTTGGTACCGGTCAACTTCCTTTTCAAGTGGAAATTTATTAGCCGGCAAAAATAATTAAGAAATGGTTTTAAAGATTGTAAAATAGAAGATTTTTTAGATATTCACAAGAAGGCACTACTGGTAAAAAATGGCTTTTATCACTAGCTAGAGAACGTTTACGAAAAGTTGAGAAAATCGCGTTAGTGCCTGGTAGTAGCAGGCGAAGTAATGTTACTGCATGATAAAGCTCAAACCGCATTCCTGGTATATCGTGTAAAAAACTTAAAAAAACCCAACTGCAAAATCCTGCTGCATCCAGTTTCTTTAGAAATCATGAATTATTCGTTTGTCTCTATTGCTTCTGTAGTTAAGTCACGCAAACGTGCCTACAACATCTCATTTAACCCTAGATCTTTGTCTTTTACGGCGACGAAATGTCAAGTGCTGTTTCGTTGGCAATTATCCATCTAACTTCAGCGGTATTTAGCCCAAAAAAAAAGTCCAATCTCAAATGAAGCTATTATCTGCTTAACCAAAAGACAAAAGAAGAATATATTTTATACTGCAACCTAACGTTTTCGGGGCCTTGATAACCATTATTGGTTGCTAGCAATGCTGATCTTCACATATGAACATCATTGAAAACAGTTAAATTTCCGTCAAAACGTTGCATGATTTGTAGACAGGATTTATTACACAGTCTGAGTGTAAAAAATTTTTTGGTTGTACGAATTCGGTTAGCTTTTCTGTAGGAGCTGTTTATTTCCCACCACTTTTAAGTTACAAGTTTGCGCTTGTCCAGTGCTCGAAAAGCAAACGACGTACTTGAAATGTTGGCGATAATGAAAGGTAGTTGAAGCATATTTTAGCTTTTACTCGTATGCGCGACTGTAAAAATCTCAGGTGTTAAATATCCAAATCGCATTTTTACTTTCGTTGTTGATTAATGCAGAACTGCTTTTTAACTTTAGTCTGAAGCCTTGGTTTTATAAGAGAAAATGTACGCTTTAGGAGAAAAAAAGGATTCAATGATTTACTAAGTTGAAAATTTTTAAGGTCAAAAAAATAGGTTGCATAAACTTTCTTAATGAGAAGCCTTTTAAAATAAACAAATGTTATTAAACTATGCAAAAAAGTTGCTGAAGCCACATACTCAAAGTTTCTTGGCTTTAAAAGCCAATTCAAAAAATGTATTTTATCAATTTAATAGATTTCGCTTCCTCTTTTTACAACCTTTGAAGTTCATACCTAATGTATTTGAGATTAGAAGGCTAAAATGAGTTTAATCACGCCACAAGAAAACCAGGTAAATAGATGTGAAAGAAAGTTTTACAAGGTTTTCACGACTAACTGACAAATCTTTAAAACTGAAGGACAACTAATGTAGTTGACCTTCCACTTCGCCCTGTTGGGTCTTTGCTCCTCTTACTTGACTTTACTTTGAACACAGTTAGCCCTTATGCTCCACAATACTGACCAAAACTCTTTATACCAATTTTTGGATTTCAAGCCTTAAGGTTTTCAATTTACAAAAAAGGGTCTTATGGCAATGATTAACTTATTACTTGATCTAAATCCTTAGATGCTACAAGCTCTGTGATTTCTATAAGCCTTACAAAACATATATTCTATACTGATTACTTTATTTACTGGAAAATTATTAAGAATTATGAGGTAACTAAAAATCAGTCAAAAGGGAAATACATAATTAAACTGATATACGAAAAGTTATAAACTAAAAGAAGAAATTTACAACGTAAAAGCACTTCAAACAAAAATAAAATCCGGTAAATGAAGCTCCCCAATTGGCACAATTAAAGCTGTCCCCAACTAATTGCAAAGCGTTGAAAACATGATAAAGATTACAGATTTGGAGAGCGATCGGTACAATAAGCCAAATTCGGTTTCAGTTGATAACGATGATAACAGCCAACTGCAATGAGTTCTATTTTTCATAACATTTAGCCCTCGATCTTCCGTCTGGTCAAATCTGCTTTTCCTCCCAAAGCTTACTTTCAGGGAGGCGTTCAGTGATATCATACTAATCCGTAGGGGTAAGTCTGGTGTGTGGTACTCCTCCCAAAGCTTCTTTTTGGGAAGCCCACAGTGTCATGAAGATATTTCCCCATAGCTTTCGCGCATGGTCGCGACAAAGGTGATTGTTACAAAAGGACTAAGTATTTTTTTAGCTATCTTAACAATTTTTGCCGACGCTTGGTAACAGCGGACTGCCGAAGAATCGTGGAAGCTGTTAAGATAAAAATTTTTTCCGTAAGAAAGTTCTGTAGTGCAGAAGTAATGACTATTTCCCGCATTTTTAGTGGAAAAAAAATAACAGTGAAAGGATTGGCATGTCCACATCTTTCAAATATGACGCATTCTCAAAAAACTTTATTACTGTCCTCAGAGCGATGAACAAAGCATACCACTTCATTGTAATGCATCTACAAGCTGGAACTGCTGTGACGAATTGGCAATGGCTTCATCGTCCGAAACATCTGCAAACGAACGTTTTTGCAGCAGAAAACAACGCTTATCGGGTCAGTATGGAAGCCGTCGCTTCTACAAAGTAAAAGATTTGTCAGAAGACAAAGCCAAGACAAGTGGCATTCGGAAGGTAATCTGCTGTTTGGTAGACATCAATTGTTTTTTTGTTACGGTTTTTTTATGAATTACTCTTAGATTTTGAAATTAATTATGAATGATGTTGCTTGTTAAAAGTAATTTTGTAAAACACCGCTCCTTCTTTTAGGTTGTGTGCAAAGATTTTCAAAGTTTTTAAAATGTGTCACAAAACTTAGTTTTTTTACTGTTTCTATTATGCAAAGAAACATCTTCTCTTGTCAAGAATGAAAATTTCAAAAAATCTCAAGTTGATTTGATTGTTTGAGATCTTGAAATTCAACTCAGCAACAGTATCCTTCCTATGAGAACGAAAAATTGTCACAAGTAATCTACTGTTTCCATTTGGAAGTTAAACAATAAATTACTTCAGCATCAAAAAGATTTTATTACTTCACATACGAATCAATAAGTGAGCATATTTTAAGTATTCCCTAATCGTTGAAACTTTCTGAATACTTTACAAAAATAATTCACGTGAAAGCAAGCCTTAAAAGTACAACAGAAACTTATAATTCAAATTTACTTTCTACTTGCTTACCTCTTCAGAACAGAATTGTTCTGGACACTTTATAAGGAGAAGTGCAGCGAAGGCACTCACGACAATTAAAAATATAGTTTAGGCAAAAAAAACTTTTCATTGTTCTTTTTCACAAAAAGTGTTTTAAAATTTTTTATTCTTTATCCTTTTCTTTTTTTTTTTTTTTTTT